AACTCTGCCCACTGCTGTGCCCGCGGGCACAGCAGTGGGCAGAGTTGGTGGCAGATGATGAAAAAGGGCCCTTCTTTTGGCTGCTGGCCAGGGCTTTCTTTCACAAAGAATATTACTGCCTTTAAAAAAGGCATACTCTTGAATCTGTCACTGATGCAGCTTTGCATGTAACATTTTTTATGTTAGTTTGGAAGTTTCAATCAGTTTCAAATAAATGAACTGGATTGCATAATATGATCTTATTAGGATAATGTTTTGTGGCTCTACTGTCTTCCATCCTCATTTTGGGTACAATTCAAGGTTTTTATGCTGACTTTTAGAGACTTGAATTCTTGAAGCCAGAGAATTTCACAGAATGTATTCTGCCTTACTTGAGTGGCCATATCAAATGGAGCAATATATAAAGCAAGAAACAGAAGAAAATGCTAATGTGTTTTCAGCTCCAGAATTTCCCCCTCAGCATTTCCATAAACATTGCTTTTAATTTGATTTTAAATGCCTGATCTAAAGTGGAAGAATATATTTTAAATTTCCTGTGCTATTTGCTACTAACATATTTATTATTTTGGTTTCTTTTATTATCGTAAACTTGAGGGTTATATATTCCAGTATAGGAATCTACTATTATAGCATCCTTGACAGACCATTCAGCTTTTGTGTAAACAAGTCCAGAAAATGAGAATCCATCCTCTCCTGAGACAGTTCTTGTTATATTGAAAAGCCCTTAATGTTCAGAATTTTTGCCTAATGTCCAATTTATTTCTACTTCCCTGTAATTAACGCAAATATTTTGGAACTTTTTGACCACAGAATTTTATCTATCAGATTATGGAGTAGCTTATGATATAACTGTAACATATAGGTAAGAGGGATACCTAAAAATATACATAATTAATTTTCTCAATTCACAAGGTTTTCTGTTCCAGTAACTATCTCTCAGAGATTGAAAACTTTAAAATAATGGTGATAGAGTTCTATACTTTTCTGCTGATATTTGGCAGTTTTCCATTTCCCTATCTTCTTAAATCACTCCTCACCCATTCAAGGAGGCTCTGAGCCCATGGGGTGTAAGAAGCTTTTCAAACAATATAATGCTTCTCTTCCTTTTGTGGGAACTATTCTGCCTGTATGTGGGAACTATTCTGCCAGGCTAGTGGCTGTAAAACTGAATTATTCTCTGAATGTGAAGGATCAGATCAGTTGTGGTTTGTTTACACAGGGAAGAATTCACCCTGCAGTTTATACATTTTAACAAACTCTCATTTTAGTGACACATGTTGTTATTCCTGCAAATCCTGTGCGAACTACTATGAAGTGCATGCTGGCACTTTTATCTGGATGTTGGATCTTGACATTTATGTGTAAGTAATTCAATTTGGGGGGTATTTAAGAAAAACATGTTTGAGGTGATGGCACAAAGATAACAGGAATGTAGCATTGATGCCATTTTTCAACATGCTTCAACACTTCTCAGAAGCAATAATCCTAAAATTGTGCAAAATATTTTGAACATTTCCAAGCATACAACAGTTATTCCAAGTTCATGGCAGGATAAAGTGTATTCAACCATTTTGTTTTGAGAGCGGTATAAAACGTGTAGTTATTGTAACTGATTATCAAAAATGCTTACAAGATAGCAGTAAATAAGATTCATAATATGCTGATTTTCCCATGGTAGATTAACAGTATTATGAAAATTAAATGTGTGTGCAATTTGAAAGAGTAAATACCTATTCACAATTGGATAATACAAATTTATCTTAGAGAATTGTTATGACTCCACTCTGCTGCTGTTTAGAAAATCTATGAAGACCTGACTCTTCACCCAGGCTACTTGCAAAAACAAATTCCAGGAACATACTTCAAGAGTAGAAAATTGGCTCACATTGTTTGGTATTTTTGGCATATAATATGTAGCATTCCTTTATAGCATCTTCTGCCAACTGCATTCTGTACTTCTTTGTACAATAATATGTTCTTTTTAGATTTATGAAAAATATCCCTGATAACTAAAAGGCAAATTAATATTGTATTAATATTTAAATTTGTATTTAACAGAAAGATAAAAAGGATAAGTACAAAAAAATGGAAAGAGGGACACTTACCTAAGTCAGAATATGAGCAGTTAGCCTGAATCTGCTCAGAATGAACAAGGATTTGCAACAAAAGTTGAAGATAATTTTAAAGTTTCTTTCAACATATAAATAATAATTTAAAAAGTCAAGGAAACAGTCAAAGAAACAGTCAGTCCACTAAAGAGAGAAGATGGCAAGAAAGTAACAGGTAGTAGAGAAAAAGCAGAGCTGCTTAACACATTCTTTGCATTAGTCTTTATGCAGAAGAAACTATAGCCCAACCTGTCAAAAACATAACTGTAAAAGACAGACTAGAAATAAAAATTAAACAAAAAATGGTAAGAGAACATCTGTCTGACCTTGATGAATATAAATCACTGGACCTGATCGATTGCATCCCAGAGTTCTGAAGGAGCTGACAGATGTTATCTCAGAATCATTGTACCATATATTTCAAAAATCCTGAAGCACTAGGGAACTACCAGATAATTGGAAAAGAGCTGATGTGATTCCCATCTTCAAAAAAAAAAAAAAAAAAAGGCGGGGGCACAGACCCAGGAAACTATAGACCAGTCATCCTAACATCAATATTTGGGAAGTTACTGGAAAAAATAATTTAAAAAAACACAGATCTGTGAACATCTAGAAACAAAGTTATAACTAGTAGCCAGCACAGATTTTTTTAAAAACAGATCATATCAAGCCAATTTTATTTCATTTTTTGACAAAGTGACTAAATTAGGAGACCAGCTAAATGCTGTGGACATAGTACACAGACTTCAGCAAGGCATTTGACAAAGTAAGACCACAACCTACTTCTTAGTAAACTAAAAAAATGTGGGATATGTCACCACCAGATGGATTTGTAACTGCCTGACAAAATGTATTCAACAAGTAGTCCTACATCTACAGGGAGGGAAGAAAGTAGTGGGGTACCACAAAGTTCTTAAAGTTTTAAAGAAAAGGCTGGACTAGAAGACCTCCAGGGTCCCTTCCAGCTCTCTGATTGATTGACTAATTTGATTACTTAACTCTCATATGGTATTGAGCCTTTCTCTTTGCCTGGCACATGTTCTAAGCAATCATCTGTCCATCTGTTCATGATATTTTTTCCTAATCCTTCAATTCCCCCTCCCCAAATCCACTTCTGGATTTGCAGAAAATAACATTTTCTTGTTTAAAACTTTCTTTTCCAACTTACAGGGGTAGAAGCCAGCTTGAGGAGTGGCACTTTTGAACAAGAAGAGAAATATGAAGTAGATGGTGGTCCTCGACAAGGCCGCCTGAACACAGAACAGCTTGTGAGGACTTTATCAGTGTTTGAGTCTTTTTTTTCCAGACTAGGGAAGAAGAAAATGTTTGAGAAATAGCTAAATTAAATTAGAAATATAATTTAAAACTATAAATTGATTTTTATTGTGAATAAATGTTCCTAAATATTGAGGGTTTAAGTTTTGGAAAAATGTTTAGAGTTATTACCTGAAGTAGAATAGATTCACCTTTGATAAATTTTAGTACATCAGTAATTTTGGTTAGCAAAACTGTTTGGTAGCCTCCTTCCCCTGTGTATGTTGTTATGCAAACATGAATATTGTAGTTAATATGTTCTACTGAACCTTAACTTTGTTTCTCCTCCCACATCTAGAAATATTTTGTAATCATTTCTTAATTAAGAATAAACACATGCACACAAGTTCAGATTATTTTTAATCAATATATGAAGTTATCTCTACCTGTTCCTACCAGTTTCTTCTGTTGCAAAGCTCCACATTTTTTGTTCATTTGCTATACCTCATTTCCACAACATAACTAATGTGATTTTTTTTTTCACAAGACCTTTTTGTTTCCTTTTTTCTCTCATTCCATTTCTTCTATCCACAGGGCTGTTCACTCCTTTTTTATTGCTGAGAATAGGGCATATGTCTGTTTTCCTTCTTTGAAACCATATCTCTTGTTTGTTGTTCTGTTCTGTCCCATTTTGTCAATTCTGGGCTCCTGTTTTTTCACCCATTTTTTTTCAGCAGCTTCGACTCCTTAATTTGTTGCTAGTTGAAAAAAATTGTATTATTAGTTGCACCTGTAACTCACAGATCAACAGATTATTAAATAAGAAATTATGGCTTTATCTCAGAATTGTCAGCTGCATAGATGAGAATAATCTATTCTTTATTTCAGCTGCCAAAACTTTTTGATGGCTGCTACTTCTATTTCCTGGGAATATTTAAAGAGCACAAGAAAGATGACCTCAAAGAACTGGTGAAATCTGGAGGGGGACAGATTCTCCAAAGGAAGCCTAAATCAGATAATGATGTGACTCAGACAATCAATAGAGTAGCCTATCATGCTGAGATTACTTCTGACCAGAGTTTCTGTACACAATATATAATCTATGATGCCTCTTCTAACTACAAACCACAAAATGTTCGTCAAGGAAAGGTTTGGGAAGTGCCCTCCAGGTGGCTTATTGACTGTGTGATGTCATTTCAACTGTTGCCTGTTAAGAAATGATTTTCCTAGCATTATGATAACATAAAAGTTGAGATTTAAATTTTACATAAATTTTATTAAAAGATACTGAAATTATGTACTGAAACAAAAATAGATACACTTCTGTATAGGAAGGTTGTATAAAATTGAGTCACTCTTCAAATCTTAAAATGTATATTTTAAAAAATAATAATAACTGAAGATTCAGATTCCCAAAATTTATTGCATGTTGATATTAGGGGAGCTTTCCTTTTTTGTGTGTGTGTTCTACAAATTATATTATTATTGTATATACTGAAATTATAATAATTCTGCATTGAAATCTTACAAAATCTCAGAAAGCTTGGTTACTGGTTATTGTGATCATAATATGAGCCTCAGCATGCCCGAATTTTTTTTTTCATTCTTTATATGGTGAAATTGTCACAATTTGTTTAAAGAGATTACTTATATCTGTAATCATGATTATGTTCTGCTGAGAGATTTGTTTCCCTTTAATGTTTTCTATATCACAAATAAATCACGTTCTGAAGCATTAGCACGAAAGACCTTTATTTAAATATAAGCTTCATTTATGTGTGAGAAAGAGGGAAAGAAAGTACTCAATATAACAAAACCTCACAACCAGTAAAGAGCTTGCAATATAATCAATTTTCAGCAATCAGTAGAGTCCTTTCAATTATAGGCCAGGGTTGAATTGAATCAAATGGTTTTACAACTTGATAGGAGTCAGTTTTCTCACCAGGGAGGCAATTTGCAGCCATCCAGATATTAATGGAGACTAATGCAAGTTATAGTTCAACTTCACATTCTGTTACCTTTCCCTCTTTTAATCTTTAATTGAAGCGTTGACATTCTCTGGACATGTATGTCATCTTACAAGGCACAAGAATCAATATTTCTATAAAGAACCTGTAGCCTTACAGATATTGGATTTCTTCCAGCCCAAGGCAGTATGGACAATGCTTTGAAACAATAACATTCTATTTCATAAATTCTACACTGTATTTCCACTCTCTCATCTTCTGACTTAAATGAAAGAACTGTATTTTTTAATTGTTTAGGGAGATGAATAACAGTAAATGCTAGACACAGTTCTCTTGGACTAGTTACATGTTGCCTCTTTTATTCTAACTACTAACTCTTCACTTTTCTTCTGTCCAGCTGCCTTTTAGCAGAAGAAAAGCATCTCCTCTCCAGCACAATAATGCCACTTATGCTAAATTACCTGTTATAATACATTCATCAAAAATTGCAGGAAAAATGCAATGGCAAGAAGAGTAGAGAAATACTGTACCTCTGCCTCAGGCAGAAACAATGAAGGAAAGCTGACTCTGCTATGTATTTTTTTTTCTTTATTGGGGCTTTATAAAATTCACATCAGAGAATTTTAAAAGTGTACTTTTCCAATTACAGTGCCTTCAGAAAGTATTCAGACCCATTTCAGTTGTCAATTTTGTTATGTTGCAGCCTTTCTACAATTGTTGAAATTCATTTTTTTCTCATTAATCTACATTCAGTACCCTATAATGACAGAGTGAGAACAGAATTTTAGAGATGTCTGTAAATGTATTAAAAAGAAAAAACTGAAATAGCACATTGGCATAAGTATTCAGATCCTTTGCAAAAACACTTGATATTTAGTTCAGGTGCCTCCCAGTTCTTTTGATTGTTGCTGATATGTTTCTACACCTTGATTGGAGTCTACCTGTGGTAAATTAAATTGATTGGACATGATTTTGAAGCTGTGACTTCTGCAGAGAGGTACACACCTCTATAGAAGTCACAGCTGACAATACATACCATAGCAGAGCAAAAGCCATGAGGTCAAAGGAACTGCTTGCAGAGCTCAGAGACAGGATTATTGCAAGGCGCACATCTGGGGAAGGCTATAATAAAATTTCTGCTGTCCTGCAGAAAGAGAGGGTTTTGCTCAGATTAGGAACTATATTATACGGCAGTAGCCCTTACAGGGATCAAAGATTGGGTAATCTTGAAAAATAAAAGAATATTGACAATTGAAGAGCATGACTTACAATTAGGGTGGCATGCATTTTTATGGGATGGGAAAAACAAGGTGCATAGTTACTTCCAAAGACACCAAATAAGAAATGCATTGCTATTAATTTGGGAAAAGATTAAAATAAATCATCATGACAAAATTCCCATCTAGTTATCAACCATGGAAGCATCAATATACTCAAATGCACTTCTGGGTTGAGTCCTCGCTGACGGACTGTAGGTCGTGATCATCCGTGGCTACAGCCCGTGCTTTTTTGTCGGAGAGCCCCAATCATTGCGATTAGGGGCTGAAGCTGCCTTGGAGGGGCAGTGGAGAAAGGGGGAACCGCCAGCCAGATTGAGGGAGCTGCATCTCCCTCTCTGGGTTTGGCAATTTTTACCCCTGAAGACGACTGAAGCGGTGGTCTAAAATGGCCACCCCGAAGAGGAGGACTCAGCTGGACTAAGTTTGTGCAGGAGTGAAGAAAGAGGTGGATAGCATGTGAGCCGGGCTCAACAACCAAATAAAAGGTATCCCAGGATTAATGTAGCAATGAATTTCTAAAAAAGAAAACAAAGCAGCGGAATTACAAAGGGAAAAAAAGAAAAATAACTGACAGCTAAACAGGGCTTTGAACCAGGAAAGGAAGAAGTCGGAATAAGATACTTAACTAAATTGGATTAAAATATTTTGGCAATAAACAAGCATAAATTAAAGCTGGACATAAGAGTGTCAAAAAAAATGGGGGGGGGGAATATACAAACTGAAGATTTGATTGTTTTGGAATATTGAGGCTTGAAAAGCCCTGAATAATAAAGCAGGGGGGAAAAGGTGAAAATTTTTGCATAACGGAGAGTGCCATCTTGTGGACAAAAATTCAAATTTAAAAATAAAAGGGGAAAGATCCTGGTTTTTTATGAACTTGAGTTGATATAATGTTAAAGAAATATTGAAACAATAAAACAAGAACCCTAGAAAGTGAAAGTTGAACTAGAATAAAAGAAGTAAGAAAAGATTGACTGCAGGACTAATTGGTGATTTTGGTATAGACCCAGTGTTGGAATAATTGTGACTCTAGGAGGCCTGAAGAAGAAAGAAGGAAAATAAAAGTTTTTGTGGATTTTAATGATTATAAAATATAAGAGTGTGCAACGATATCTCTTCAGGAACTAAAAGTGGAACTTAAAAATATGAAAAACTTACTACAGGAAAAAGGTGAATCACTTGGCTTTGTTTTAAAAGCTATGGAAATCGTGATTGAAGAACATGAAGAAAGAACTTCAGAGAAGGAGGAGTTAGTTCAAGGAGAAGCCATCTTAAACAGACAATTAACACAACACAAAGAAGAGGGAAAAGAAGGGGGGTTTAAAAATTTGAGATTCAAGAAGGTAACTAAAAGGGAATACCTGTGAAATTAGGAAAGGTAGAAAGAAGCAGCAGAAATGGGGAAAGGAAGACAAAGAGGGAGAGGGACACACTGAAAGAAAAAATGGGAAAATGAAGGGGAAGAGAAGTAGTGAAACAGGAGCAGGAAATAAATATGGGAATTGTATCCGCATGGAGATGAGGGGTAATAATACATTTGCAATTACAAAATATTTAGAAAATAGAGAAATATAGATTATCACAGGAGGGATGGACACTGATATTCTTTACTAGGTGAATGTATATTTTTATTTTTATCTTTAAAAGAAATGTTAATGTTTATTAAATAAATTCAAATAATTGAAATGAACTATGAGGATGTTTAAAAATGAGATTAATATCAGTGACCAAGATTAGTTTAATGGAGTTAGTTTAATTAGTTTAATTTTTTTCTTATCTTGGTTTTGAAACTATAAATAAATTCTATGAAATTAAAGGGGAAAAATACATTGCGGAATCTGACTAAAAACATATATAATGTTATGTGGGGTTTTTTTAGGGAATGACTATTATAATTAGTTAAAAGTAAATGTTTATTGGGAATTAAGATGAGGGAATTAAGGTATATTTTAACCACTGAGGTGATACACTCAAATTAGTAAAAGGGGGGGGGACATGTTTTTCTCTCTCTTGTGTTAAAGCAGGTATTAATTTAGAACTTATGGAAAGAATATGCAATGAAATTGCAAATCTGACAGATAAAAGAACTATTTAAATGAGGTGGGAGTTCCGGTCTGCAGCGCTTTGGGGCAGGCAGGAATCCGCGACTGCGCGGTTTCTGCCTGCGCTCGCTGCCGGAGTGCCCTGTGCCACCTGGCTTCAGGGCTAGCCACCTCCGTAGAAGGTGGCGAAGATACGGGGGATTTGGCAGGGTCGAGAGATATCGCACCTCTCTTCTCTTGCCGGCAAAGCCCCCTTTTCCGAAGGCAGCTGAGCGGCGGTCAGAAATGGCCGCCTCATAGAAGCGCTCAGCCGGAAAAAGAAAGTGCAGGAGGAGTTGAGAAGAAGTGAAAGTTTTTTTGCTGACCGGGACAAAGCAACAACGAAAGTACCCTGGAACCTGAAATTTGCGAAGGATACATCGTTTCCTGAGATTTATAAGCGGCGAATGGAAGTTAAAAGGGAAAGTTTTTTCTTTTTTTTTCACTCTCCTTCCTAACGAATAGAAATGCAAGAGAAATCGGAAAAACCCGCATTGGCACTAATAGGTAATTAAATGCTAAAAAGATAAGGATTTCTGAATATTTTAAAAAAAATTATTATTTTTTTCTGTAAGTGGGAAGGGAGAGGAAAAGAATTGGAGCAGGATTTGGAAATGAGGAGATTGCCTAGAATGTTAAAGAATTACTAAATATTAACAAGACTTCTAAAAGATACATTTTAACTGGAACTTTGCAACTAAACAGTAACCCCAGAAAGAGAAAGTGAAGAAAGAAGAAAGTGCTAAAAGAAACAGCTTATTTGGACTGTTTGGTGATTTTGGAACTTTTGGAAATTATCTTTGACTAAAAACACTTGGGTGGTTGTTTTGGAAAAACCTTTTCTTTCTACAATGGTATCACTTGTGGATGAATTGAAAATTGAATACAAAAAATACAAAGAAGAAGAACAAGAAGGGAAAGACTCTCTTGGCACTCTTTCAATTTTTAGAAATGGCGATTTGCACTTATGAGAAACTGACTGCGCAACAAGATGATGGGAACAAAGAAGAAGCCATCTTTGATGAACAAGTAACTTTATTTGGGGAAGAAAGGGAGAAAGAGGAAAAGAAAAAGGGGACTTTAAGACCTGAAAAAACAACCAAAAAAGAGAAAAATAAGGTGAAAAGTGGATATAATGTTAGAAAACAACAGAAAGGGGGAAAGAAGAAGAAAAGGGAGGTGGAGAGACAAGGGGGTAAAAAGGGCAGGGAGAAGAACAAGCAAGGGAGGAAGGAAGGGATGAGAAGCCTTAATGGTGGGGAGCAAGATGTAAAGAAACAAGATTCATTTAGAGATAATGGGTAAATTTAATTGAAAAAGGGATTCTGCAAAGGTACACAAGATTGTATTCTTATATTTGTACTTAGAAATAATGTTAGAAAATTGGAAACAACATGTGATCAAAAAATGGGATAAGATATTTAGTGTAACTTAGTGAAATTTTTGTGAATAAAAAGAAGGCAATGAAACAAATGAGAGAATTGAAGTAGGAGGAAATGGGAACATTTTAATGATACAATTATTTAAAATATGTGATGTGGGGGGGAATAACTATGGAAAGTATATGGAAAGTATAAAATGTTCCCATAAAAGTATGATATTCAATTGAAAAGTAACATGTAAAATGTTTAAGATATAAATGAATATTAATATTAATGATTAGATTTATATTGATATTGATAGTTGTTTTAGTTATATTATATACTTATATTTTTTTTTCTTTTCATAAAATATAATGTGTAATTTTAGAATGTACTAAACAGAATCCCAATGGAAGTCATGTATTATATTAAGTATTATAAATTTAGGGGAAAGAGTCAAAGGCGTCACATTCCAATCAGTGTAGAGGAGTTGTTTTGTTTAAAGAGAAAAGAGAAATAGCTGGAAAAACAGACAAAGAATAATAAGCATTATGATTTGAACTGAGATGAGATAAATAAAATAAAATTAAGAAAGTTAAAAGAGGCGAGAAGTTATATAGAAAATGGAAAATGGTAATAAGATATGGAATGGTATGTAAAATGAACATGAATTTGAATTTGTGTTTGTACGAAGAGATGTAACCCGGGATCAAGCAGCTTTCAGAAAAGATGTTTTATGTTTTTATGTTTTATGTTTTGCTTGTTTGCGTATTGTCTTTGAAAATTAATAAAATTTATTTAAAAAAAAACTATTTAAATGAGAAAAGAGTATTTTGGAAAAGGT